ATTCCTATGTAGTTCATTTATCAAGTGTAATCATATTCTCTATATGAAATATTATTCTGAAATAAAACTTCAAAGTTAAAAGAAATCCTATGTGGATAATCGAAATTTTTCAGTTCATGATTCTCTTTGCATAGTAATCATTTCTAAACTAATTGTCAGGATTATTTGCATGCTCTAATAAATGACCTTTAGTTACGTTACTCCATTTGGACCTCTTGGCTTACTCGTGGTAGCCGACACCAGTTGGGATCGCGCACCGGTCACCTCTTTCCTAACGATAAAGTGATCACTCGGCTACGTATTTCACGCGCCCGCATCGCTCATCAATTGGGCTCTCGCGATGCGCTTGCTTGTGTTTGGCATTCCGGCTACTCACGAGCCCCTCGGTCTCCAAGATACCTCGCAGATTATGTACTTGAGCCTATGCGTGCTCAGCTTTACCCAATCGGACAGGCTGAGTGGGAACTTCTTAAAGAATGGGGACCTCAGCACTTGGGCTTGGGTAAGTTTTCGATCATCATCTTAGACGAAATAGGGTGAATACATCTCATATTTCTTATTTACTGGTAGTCTCGAAACTCTACTCTAATACGGAAATAAGTTTTTCATTGTCTGGCTTACGCTCCACAGTAATTTCTTCTAATATAGCCCCTGAAACATGTGACCCGCAGTATATAAACAAGCTCTGCGAATACGGCCTGGAGATTGGTCCACAGAAGTTGGGCATTATGACCAAATTGACTAATAATCCACTCTAGATGCAACAGGTGACCAGATATAGATGACAAAGTTTGCTCAGGGTACATGGGTTTAATCAAGGAGATGATGCGTACATGCGATGCCTAATATTCGCAAGCATGGGAATGAGTCTAGGTGCTCTTCAAGTAAGGCGACATTGTGCGTGTCACTGGACGCTTGAGAGATAGCGCCTGGAGTAAGAAGTACGCTGTGGCTGGAACTGAGTGAAATCGGTCAACCAGAAGGATAATAAATGGATCTACTGGCCCATGAGGCAGATCCGGACAAGAAGCTTGAGTTAGATCAGCCACTCGAAAGGAAGGGAAACGAGGCAAACAACAGGTGTGATGACGCCACGGCGAATTCGTGAAAAGGGCACACCTCTTATAGAATATAAATAAGTCAGAAGTTGTGATAAGACGACGGCGAGACAAGAGGGTAGGAAATGAATAGGGGCCAGGACAGAAAGAGGAATGATAGCACAATCGTTTCGGCAAGGAGTTGGTCAAAGGTTTGACTTAACTTGTGTCTGACTAATTGTAGTTTGGTGCTAAGAATAGCAAGACCCACTGACGACGCCGTCGAAACGTCTGGGAATGTAGCAAGTCCACGGTTCGACTCTGGAAATTATCATGCCTACTATGGACTCCGGACAAGGTGTGTTCTTTAGGTCTTGTCAATATGTTAAGTTGCAAAAACAGGGTCAAATGTCTGCTAGATATATTATTTAATTCAGAAACCCTTCACAACTTTACTTATTTTGTATACTTGCTGAGAATCCTTATCTATCATAATGGATCTTTCCTTATCTAGTGCCACTCTAATACAGGCTGTTACTGAATCTTTATCTCTTTACTACTTAATGTGAACTAGAAATTTGCTTCACAAGCCTTTCTCGTCTACTTCCTTCATTACCCTATAGAAGCAGCCGAAATATTTCTGATTACAACGGTTTATAGCCACATTTCGCAGTGCCTAAACCATCCCCCACTGCGATTCTATATCTATCCCTTATTATTACATCACCTCCATACCTGATTTATCACATTGAGACTAATTATACTAGTCCAGTCAATGTTCTTTCTAACTATCTTTTAGCTCGTGCGTAAATTACTCTATCCACATACCTTCATGTGAAGATTTGATTTATACAACTCTTAATCAACTAATTTCTCAAAATCCACGCATGGAATTGCTAGTTGATCTATCTGGCTTCTCTCTCTCATTCAAAGCTAAGTCAATACCCGAACACTAATCAGTATCCTACCATATCATCTCGCTAACTATAAGCAACTGATCCTGGGATTGTTTTTTTTTCATGAAACTAACTACCCATGAACCTTTGATCGTGCTCTACCCCAGCGTTACACCACACTTATAGCTCTGTCCTAACTCTTGGAATCCGGAGGATTGTCGCTATGAATCCATTCCACTTTCCTCGTCAAAATCACTCATGAAGTGTTCCGATGCTGTAATTTCCAAGAACCAGAAAATCTCCGTTACAGCTTCGTAATGGTCAAATATTTCCGTCATCACATCTCTACTACGGTAAGTTTGAATGGATCTCTGCATATGGGAGGATCACACCCAGTTAAAAGTTAATGTAAAGCAAAGTCGTTCCGTGATCATGTCGTTAATTACGCTTCTAAAGGAATATTTTGCTTTTCATCAGCAAAAAGTACTTTGACGCAAGCGAGTTTGAATCAGCACAGCGACTCAACTTTGTTCTCACTCAACATTTAGTCGTGGCTCAGATTCCTTGGGACGGCAGTGCGCAGCACATCACCTCGGTTCTCCTATTCCCATCATTAATCCCCCCCTCCTGTGCACACCCAAACACGCTATCGTGCATGCCAATTCTTATCTCACCACTACTTAACTCTGCATCTTTCCTGTATATACAGCTATTTACCATGGCCTATATAACAGAGGTGCGTTCCACAATGTCTCCTTGTTGCCCCGACAAAGTTGCGGAAGCGAGTTCATAACAAGGCAATAACTCCTACCAAACCTAAAGCCATATATTCTTAGTCCTTAAATGTACAATCTACTCCTAATTTAGCTTACTTTCTTTAAGCACATTTGTTTATTTGCAGCAAATGTGAATCCCTGGGATGTTTCCTATGCTATTCGTCAGTATAACTACAATTCTGGTCTTGAACACGCTGCTTCGCGTTTATTACCTGGACAGGTGGCCAAGCACTACGAGGTAAGCTGAGTCAAGAAATTTGCATAATTATCAATAATTTTAGCATTAATAATCGCCAATTAAAAAGGTATTGGAAATCACACATATATAGGTAGTAATATAATTTACTGGTATATCCTTTAACAGAGAATGGCTTTTGAGATTCATTTTTGTGATTCATTCCTCTGTTATACTGTTTAGGTGCTTCTCAGCGAATTCAATACGCTTTTAAAATCAATTATTTTTGTTTTTGTGACGTCTATTGTCTTTGCTGCACTTACCAACGATCAATGCATAGATGAATCATCCCCTAAGCCTATTAAAGAATTCTAATGGGTAAGGATATAAAATTAGTGCTATTCTTATAGCAATATTATTTGATTATATATAGAATTCTGGAAATTTTATAAGTAATAAAAAAGCACAGGAATATTTTCAGGTTACTTAACGTGTGATGATATTCAAGATGCGTAAATTGGTATAAAAAAGTGAAATTCGAATCCCCTTGGTACTGCTGGTGAGATTTAGACGAGGTTGGACTTACAAGCTAGTATGATGGTCAGAAGACATTTATTACACATCACAAAGTAAAATCAATTACGAATATTAAATATTATCTTCATTTCGCTATCTACATACTAGCCGTAAGCTCACAAAATAGCTAATCAAAACGAATAGACCTCAGCAACGCTAATTTCCTTATATGTGAAGGTCGAGATAGTGCAGCCTTGAGTTTGTTGTCAGTTTCCCGTATTTGTATAATGCTAGTTTGACCTCATTTTCGCAATTTGGTCGGAGAGCAGGATACCTTTTGGAGCACATCTACTCCCGCATCCTTTACAATAGTGGTCCTACTCCAGATTATTATTCAATTTTAAAAAGTGGGTTGACCTCGTTGCCACAACTTAGTATTGTTTTCAGGGAGACTATGTAGAGCGCACCTAGTCCAAAGTCGTCTGCCATAGTAGTTGTCTTGATTCCCAGCATCTGACAGTGGACTTGATACATTCCCAAAACGTTTCGCCGGCATCGTAGTCGGCATCATCAGTGAGCTTTGCCATTCTCCACACCAAGATACGAACGCGTCAGAGACAAGTGAAGTCAATGCCTCGACAACCGTTCTGCTGGAAACGGTTACACCATCACTCCTTTTTCTGTCATTGTCTATCTATCTACTATTTAACCTTTTTTCCCAAGGATGTCAATGGCCTCCATAATCTAATGAACAGGAGATTGGAGGAAAGTAGAGTTAGCGATAACTTTGCCTATTGCCTAATCAAAATCGGAGAAAACAATAGAGCAAGACCAGCAAAAAGGATACGCCTGGAGCAGGGATCTGTCGCTAACCGGAGAAAAAGGGATTGTGATGACGAAAGTGGGGGGCAGGGGTATTCGGCAATTAAGCGAAGACGTCAGTGAGTGATGGCCATTTGAATAAACCAGTACAACTTTGAGGGCCTGGCAGTCAGGGAGCGGGGCAGACGGATAAGCACACCGTCATAGAAATTGGGGTTCTGGACAAAATACACTAGAAATCCACTTGAGATGCCGCATGCGACCAGAGATAGGTGTCCACATTTTGCTGAGATAACATTTGTTTAATTAAGTAGACGACCAGTGTAGGGAAGGCCTAATATCTGCAAGCATGGGATTCAGTGCTTAAGCGCTCCGCTCAGTGAAGCGGCAGTGTATGTGCTTCTATGGCCTTGAGAAATAGCGCCAGGAGTGAAATGCACACAGGGACTGGACCCGAGTGAAATCGGTCAACCAAAAGATAAGGAACGGATCTACGTGACAATGAAAGAATCCGGATTAGAGGGCCGAGTGGGATAAGCCCATCAAAAGAGAGGGGTCGGGGTAAATAGCAAGTGTGATGAGGCCTTACTCGGTTTGCCAGAAAAGGGCACACATTTGGATGATTGAAATGTAAACTAGTGAGAAGTTGTGATAGGGCGGCAGTAGGATAAGATGTTAAAGAGTAGATAGATAGACAATGACAGAAAGAGGAGTGATGGTTTAACCGTTTCCAGCAGAACGGTTGTCGAGGCATTGACTTCACTTGTCTCTGACGCGTTCATATCTTGGTGCGGAGAATTGTAAAGCTCACTGATGATGCCGACTACGATGCCGGTGAAACGTTTGGGAATGTATCAAGTCCACTGTCAGATGCTGGGAATCAAGACAACTACTATGGCAGACGACTTTGGACTAGGTGCGCTCTCCATAGTCTCCCTGAAAACAAGAGCAAGTTGCGACAACGAGGTCAACCCACTTCTATAAAGCGAAAGGATACTGCTACCATACTAGAGGCCACAACATCTTGGTCTTCATATCTTTAATGTTTAATTTTACTATAAATACAGACGGAAGATAAGAATGACGGGAAGTATGTTTATAGGGACCCTAAGTCTAATATTGAAAATTCAGGGAATAAGAATTGGACACATTAACTCAGATGATTCTCAGTTAACAGATATTCAGTTGAACTTATTCACTGAATTATACGGTAATTATGAAATAAAAAGTAAATGAGATGGGTGCGTAGATATTTATATGGCTATAGTTTTGCCTAAGTGGTCCGAATTGGGCTATAAGAAAGGAAGTAGGTTTGAAGTCGGCCACCTTTCTTGCCTTGGCGTTTTTTTAGTGAATTATCGTTACCATGGTGTCCTGCTCTGACGATGCCCGTCATATGACAACGAAAGCTCAGCAAGGATTTATCGGGGTTGCAAGACGATTCACCAAGCACTTATTCGCACAAATCTACAACCACAACTCAAAGGCTACCCCCACAGCCTCCGATGGAACCAACTTGCGAATCCTTTCCATTCGCCTCTTCAAACGACATGAAAGATACTCCAGCAGCAATTTATTAAGGGATTATTCGAAACTCAGTTTTTCTACAAAGATTTTCCGTTGATTCCCTGTTTCATAAGTGAGACAGCATAGTTATATTGTTGAATCCGTG